TATATATATGCAGACTTTTCATATGCATGTAAACATCAACCAGTTAATTACCAATTCTTTCCAATGTGTTCTCTGAGATTTTTCTTCATTAGCAGAATTGCCTAATTGGTCGAGGGAATAAATTGTTGTCTGCTTATATACTAATTTGTGGAACTGAGTTAGACCCAATGTGCACTAATAGAAGAAGAGAGCATGAAATAGAAGAAAAAACTATAAGTATCTCGACATCTATTCACAGTCCGGCAGAGGCGGATTACGGTATTGAGTTCATCTAAACTCAGTACTTTCGATCATGAGATATTAATTTATGTGTTAAAATTCAATAAAATTGCAACAAATAATAGATATGAAAATTCAATACTAAAAACCTTATAGGTTGTTGAACTCATAAATTTTGAATCCTACATCCACCTCTACGGTCCAGCTAGAAGACATTATTTTTCACTTATCATCAACTACACTTATAATCAACATTTCCATCATTCGAGTCTTTTATTTCTCTACACATAGAGCTCAAAATCTAAACTTTCCTAGTTAGTTTAAAGATTACTTACACAATTTGCTAGTCCTACCAAAAAAATGAATAAAAATGTGTCAAATAAGATAGTAGTAACTATTAATTAGCCCACAATTAATCAGCACATTATAAGGACTTGGAGAATAATACTCAATATCTTAAACTTATGGACTATATATATGTTCAACCAAATCTAAATTACCTTCATGCACATTAAAAAAGTGAAAAATGGCATATAAAAAGTTGAAGCAATAACTACGGAGGTACTGCTGGAAAATATCGAACAACAAATCTGGAAAGATGATATTTTCAGAACAAAAGAGCCCTTAATTCGTACGAGAGAGTAACATGTATTAGGTCAGAAAATTTGCAAGTAAAGGAAAAACTGAACTCAAAGTTTCAGTTTCCTACAGTTACTAACACTGTAACACAAGTAGACAGGTAAACAAAAAACGGAAAACACCTTGATGAATCTACTTTATATGCTCTTAAATGTTACTTATAGGTATATTATTGGCACATTAAGTAACCAAAGCATTTAATTATCAAACCTAACTAATCAATATCATCTTTTACTTGCAGGCCATATCTCTATAGGCTGATCCCGTACGATATATATATATATATATCACGAGTTCGAGCCGTGGAAGCAACTACTAATACTTGCATTAGGATAGACTGTGTACGTCACACTCCTAGGGGTGCGACCATTCTCTAAACCCTGCGTGACTGCGAGATGCTTTCTGCATCATACTGCCCTTTTTTGTAACTTCTATAGGCTGATGAGTATAAATTCTTTTTAAAGATAATTATGTTAATTATCGATAATAAATGAAAATAGTTACTTGAAAAATAAAATAATTACCTCCTATAACATTATTAAATAACACTGGTAATGTAAAAATTTCTTATACTGAGCTCATCCAAGAAAAAATGGACATAACTTTTGAGGAAAATTGCTATCCAAAATTTCAAACGTGAATATTCATGCATTTGAGACCGACATATTGAAAATAAGGAGGAAAAAGATGTTTGTCATTGTAGATTGTCCTAAGAAAGAAGCAATCAAGCAACATATATATTAGGTATAGTCAACCCATGATTTCANTAAATCTATCTAGCTATTTATGTAGAACAAGAATACAGGTATTAGTAATATACAGTAAGATGATAAAAGTAACTCTCATAACAGTAAACACACTCTTAGTCTGTTTAAATTTAGTAAGTACTCCTGCATATTCTAAATTATACATTACATACTACTATAATAATTACGTCTTAATGTCAACAGGTTGAATAAACAATAGTATTAGATTATGCAATACATATAATACAACAACATATCTAATGTAATTTCACAAGTGAGATTTTGGGATCAGAGTAGTGTATACCCTGAACTTATCCTTATCTTGTGAAAATAGAGAGACTATTTCCGATAGACTTTCGACTCAAGAAAAATATGATTATGCAATGCATACTAACTTAAAATAATATATCAAATTAAATATCTAACCAAAAATAATGATCTCTACATTAAAAAATGTATCGCAACTAATCTCAGCATAACTTGTGACTCAATCAAACAACTTATAAGTAAACTTAATAAACAAACTCCAACATTTCAGCCAAAAAGTCGACTTTTTATGGTATTATTTCAAAGAGAATTGAAGAAATTAACTCAACTTCGTAGAGAAATTAGAACAAAAAACGAGGCCTCTTATCCTCATTTTTCTCCTCCTTTTTTCTATCTTGGTTCTAAACAAGTAGTACTACTAATACTAATTAACTTCACTGGATTGCATTACAGGAAAAAAAAAAAAAGTCAAATGTCAATTTCGTAATTTGTCGAAGAATCTCAAGATCTCGCAGGAGGTGGAAAGAAATGCGTACCAGCTGCCATGAAAGTGTTAATTAGAGGAGCAGAGTATATAGAATGTTCTAGAAAATGTGACCCTTCCCCGGCCGCCACCGCAGCACCGCCACCCGCGGCCGCGTTGGACGTGGCCGCTGACGTGACGGTGCCGATAAGTTTATGCTGATGTGGCACTACTGGTTCACCACCAGATGAGCTGTCACCAGTAGTAGCATTCATATTATACTGACTCTCAAGGCCTTGATCATATAAAATTCCCTTGAAAATATGCCCACCAATATTAACTGCTGTCTGATATGCTATTTGATCTTCATTTTCTTCAATCGAGCTCATTCGAACACGGTGAAACACAGCCGTTGAATTTACTTTTGATGGAAAATTTCCCACTTCTAACCCTAAAAACATCAAAATACTAACATCAGATAAGCAAACAAGATTCAACAAGTAAGCATTAAAATATTATAACATTTAAATTTATGAGCTAAATATACAATTATCCTAGGTTTAGGGACGTGTATGAGTTCTAAATTTTAGAATTCCGACATCAGGTTTAGTATATATAGTTAATTTCTTAATAAAATTACAAGATTTGCATTGAAGCTACTGGATCCAGCTGAACCCTAAGTCGACTTCCAACTCAAGGCCATGTTGGTATGAAACAGTTAAAGCTAAGCTTCTCTAACTTTAACAGAGGTTTGGGATTCGAGCCATGGAAGTAAGGAGGCTAAAACCCTATATTAATGGACTTGAATCCGAATTAATCAGAGTTTTTTGGATTTTGAACAAAAAGAAAAGAAGAGAGAACGCGCATAGAGAGAGAGAGAGAGAATAGGGCCTTCTTTGACAATCTTTTGTCAGGAATACCAAGAAACAGTGATGAGAAAGAGAAAGACAATGAAAAAGGAAAAGCTGATGGATTTTACTGTTACTACAAAGGGGAGGTTCATTTCTTTCAGTTTTCGTCATAGGCAATGGTTACGGATCTTCTGTTTCTTCAGAATCTCGAGAATGTATGTTTATCTGTGTATGTAGTGAGGCAGTTGTAGAATCACAAGCATGGGAGGGGATTCAATCTACTTCATCGAAAAGTTATACTGCAGAAATATAATAAAAATAACTTCTTATATAGTATATATTTTGAATCCCCTCAACCGATGCGAGTGATAATTGGAAAAAAGAAATTTGGAATTGAGAGAGAGAAAAACTTTACCAGTAGTATTTGAAGGTAAACCAGTGCAAACAAGAGAAGAACCACTTGGATCATCTTTTAGCCTTTTGGGGCTATTATTATCTCTGTGTTGTTGCTGTTGCAAAGAAGCAATTTGTTGTTGCTTTTCTCTTCTTTTAGCTGCTGGAACCCAAGTACTTCTCACATGTGTTTGACACTGTAAACCTCTGCTCTTACAACAAGTCCTACATCTCATATGTTGACAATCTTTCTTAGCTTGGTTCCCACAATCTTGACAACTAATTCCAGCTCCACTACTTCTCATCATTATAAAAGCAGCAGATCTTGACGCCCCATGATCTGTTGCTGTAGGACCAACACCTAATCCAATAGCTGAAGTGGGATAAAGATCTTGTAATGGATTAATGATTGGGTTTCGGATTTGGTAATTTTGCTGCTCGTCTTGTTGTTGTTGTTGTTGCCATAGTTCGAAGCCTTTGTATGCGGGTAATTCTTGATCATGATTTCTGTAGAAGAACCAATTGCTCTCTGGGTTGTGATGATTAGTGGTTTCTTGATGATGTTGCTCTTGACTTGTTTCTCTTCCTCCTCCTAGTGAAAAGAACCCAGCCATTTTTTTTGGTGGAAATAAAAATTTATTATTCAATCATTTATACAATTCAGCTTATCACCATATCCTTCCCTTCCCAGCAATTTTTCTACCTTTATGCTTTTTTCTATATTCAATTGTGAGTACTCACAATCCATAGCATGACCCAAGAATGATATGCTCACTTGTACTATCAACAAACAGCTCCTTACTATGTTTAGATCTCTTAAATTCCATGTTGAGTCGAATTAAGCCGCAAGCTACACTTCACCCTTCCGTCAATTCCCTTAAGTTTCGTAACGATACTCACTCAGATCCTAAAAACTTTGATTTCTGCCTTAACTTTTTTGGTGTCTTGATTTGTGTGTTTAAGGAAAAAAATTAAAAAAGAGTGGTGGTTTTTTTCCCCGCTCTCCCTTAATTTTCCTTTCTTAAAAGAGAGGAGGAAGTAGGAAGATAAATTAGTAACTAGAAATTGTGGAAGACAAATTGCACTTTTTTATATTTTTAGAGATGAGACAATTGTAAAAAAGACTTTTGGTGATAGAGATTAATCAAAGGGGAAGCTAAATAAGACAAGCTTTTGTTTTGCTTCTATGTGATAGGAGCATTAAAGAGGTAGAATTACTGTACTGCAACAACGCCGCCATGGCCTAATTAAAAACAGCAGACTCTCTCTCTCTCTCTCTCTCTTTCTGCACTTTTCTGTTGTTAACTTTCCGTTTGCTGCAACTACACCAATTTAAGTCTCTTGTTGCTTGTTCTGTGTGTCTAAATTCTAACCGGAAGTGCTTTTACGCGCATTCAATATTTATATTTAATTAATATAGTTTAATACTTTATTCATTTCATTTTATGTGTCGTGGCAAAATGGATAAAAAAAACAGTTATCCATCTATATAATTCATTAAAATATGAGTTGTATAATAAACTTTTTAAAAATAGGTTATGGATAAGAACCATATCATCCACTTACAAAAATGGATAATCAATGGATAACTAATGAGTTTAATATATTTATAAAGATTCAAATTGGAGTTCCTCAAGTTTGGAAGACAAGAAATTCTCTAAAAAATATCATATTCAAGAAGCTATGGATAATATGGATATCCATATTATTCGCTAGTTAATCTATTTTCTATCCGTATTAAATATGGGTCGGGTTGAATAATTTATCCATTTTTACATTCCCCGTTTCTGGCACGCTCATATCCGACCTACACCACCCTTTTACCACCCCTAATCATAGACTTAGACACTGAATTTTACATACATGAAAAAGATCTTAAGTTGTGTATGACATACTAAAACTGAATATCATTTAGGATAAACGGAATATCATTTAGGATAAAATGAGAATATAAAGAATTAAAAAGGTGATATTCTGTTTAAATTAGATAGAAATAATATAAGACACATGAGATGAAATATATGAAGTATTAATTAACTAGAGTATGATAGTTTATTAAAATGTTTATTTTTTCCTTCGTCTAATTTTATGTAAAGACACTTAACTAAGCATATAATTTAAGAAATTAAATACGTAAATCTTTTGACATATAAGCCAAATATATACAAAGTATCAAAATTATCTTTTTAAAATGATGCGAGTTCCACACATGCCCTTTTATTTTTTATCTCATTAAAGAAGAATAAACTAAGTGGATTCGAACAAATCATATTAATTTATTATGATTAAATGATTTAATATGATATATATATTAGTTAATTATGATTAAGTAGTTGTATATGCAAACACATATATCCCATCTACTCATTCGCTCCTCATCACACATATTCAATTTATATTAATTACGATGAATCAATTTATATTAATTACGATGAATTAACATATTCTTATATTTAATTATGATACTTTAACACGATTTTGTAGAATGCTTTCACCGGTATTCAGAATCAAAAGGTTCCAGACGATTGCATGCCATCAACGGATTAGTCTTTGCCACGTGTCAAGAACTCGGCTTTTGCTTCTTTCTCCTTTCTACTTTATGTCTCCTTCCATTTAATTGCGTAATGAATCGAATTCATTTGTTTAGTTTGCTCTCTAATTTTATTTCACTTAAAATTTTAATTTTAATATAGCATAATTGATTATAATACTCAATATATTCTATTTTATGTTACAAGTTATAACCTCCCTTCTTAATAATATTTTTATATTAAACCTATCGCCTTACCGTAAGTCCTTGATGATAAACTTTTACCTCACCAACTTTACACCATATATAAGTTCAAATTTTTTTAAACATTTTCGTGTCTTTTCTAATTTAGTACTCTTATGTGCCTAGTCAAATACCCCATATACAGTAAAAGAAGTAATATATACTTCTATTTAATAAAAAAAGGTCCAAATTTACCCATATTGTTTGTCTTAATGAATACCTTCAGTTAACCTATTAGATCATAAAATCTCTCACTATTATTTTTCGTCTTAAATTTGTCCATGCCTCAAACGGTCTTGCAAGGTGATTTGAGGAGTCTTTTACTTTAAAGGAAAAGGTCCAAAGTTTTCATCGGATTATGCAAAATGATCTACCTTTGCCATCCATTAATTGTTGGGCCAGATGATCAATAAAGCCGCAAAGGATTTTCAAAAAGTCAACAAAAAGTTAATCCAGGTCCCGTGTACCCGAAATTAATATCAAAATTCGATGACCCATAATTTATCGAGTCCAAATATATAATTAGATTCTAAAACTGAGTCCAAATCGGTACTAAAATCCTCAAAATACACTTTCTCAAAATGTAGCCAAAACCTCAAAATTTTATCTCAAAATTTCATGTTTTTGGCGTTAATAATTTACCTAGATTCTTTAGATTATACCAAAAATTAGTCGAAATCATTTACCCCAAAGTCTTTGTGTGAAAATATTCATGAAAAATCGCTCATCTCCAACTGCAGATGTCGCATTTTCGACCTGAGACACGTAAATGCGCCCTTGCAAAAGCGACCTCAGGCTCGCAAATGCGAACCCCGTCTGACCCAGCCAATGTCACAAATGTGACCAAAAACTTTGCAAATGCGAAGCCCCCCAAGATGTCAATCGCAAAAGCGAACAAAAATCCTCGAAGCCCACAGTCGCAATGCAACTCTCATCCTCAAAAATGCGAACAAATTCCTCAGAAGTCTCAGTCGTAGAAGCGACTCACATCCTCGAAGGACCTGGTCCTTCCAGTTAGACCAGGTCGCAAAAGTGACAATAACCTCGCGAATGCGATGGTTGCATTTGCGACCCACTCGCAATAACCTCCAAAGACTTGAAATACTATAAATAATATCAAAACCAAGAGTCGAAGACCAAATCATTTTTTTAAACCTTCAAACCATCAAAAATATGTTGAACGCGTCCGAATCACATTTAAACAATCCAGATCACAACCAAATTTTACACACAAGTTCCAATCAACAAAAATGAACCTATACAAGGTCTTAAAATTACAATAGGAGCCCGATAATATCGACTCAACTCCCCGTCAAATCTATGAACTCTCCAATTCTTCAAATTGCCAACTTTCTTCAAACATAGCCAAAACCTTCTAGGAACATCCAAATTCAAATTCGAACATACGCGTAGGTCCAAAATCATCAATCGAACTTATAGAAACCATCAAATCCCGATACCTAAGTCGTTTACTCAAAAGTTAAATCTTGATAAATTCTTCCAACTTAAAGCTTCCAAATTGAAAATCACTCTACCAAATCAATCCTGAATTTTTCGAAAATCAAAACCAACCATACAAACAAGTCACACGCATCATGTGAAACTACTCAAAGTCTCAACCGAATGAAATACTCATGCTCAAAATGGCTGGTCGGGTCGTTACACAAAAATAAGAATGCTTACCATTTCACAATTTTCATTCAAATATGCCATGTAAAAAAAGAATAAAACAATATTAAACTAAACTAAAAAAATAAAAATTTGAGTAGATAAAAAGTAAAAGTCTACTCTTAATAAATAGTTAATTCTAAGTTCCCCGACAACGGTGTCAAAAACTTATTGCAGTCAAACACACACACAAGTATATGTGATCGTTGAGTAATAAAGTGATAAGTAGAGTATCATTCTTACGAGGACTTGTTATCAATTATTAACTAAATTAGACTATCCTAATTATCTACAAGAATTAAACCTAAAAGTGTATGATTCTAAATTAACTAAAATATAAAAAGATAACTAATAAAGTCTAAACAAAAGAAGAACAGATTTTTATGTTATCAATCTGATGAAAATAATCAATGGTTATGGGATATCCAACAATCCTATTATATTCTTTATTTAAATTGACATATTAATTTAAGTGATTTATTGATTGACATAGTTAATATTGCTCATAAAAATTTATCGAGTTCTTACTCGTCTATTCAAGCTAACCCAACGCCAATATATCTATGGAGTTAGAATCAATAAGAATGCATCATAATTCCTGTATAATATCTAAGCAAGACGATTATGTATGTCTATGCTGACCGTGAATCCGTTTCTCGAAGCCTAGGTTTAAGAACTTTCTCCACTCAAGTTTATGTGCAATCTAAAAATTTTAGTTACCGGTTCAATAACTAAATTTGTAGATAGTATCAGTTGGAGACCAAGAAATCAAATAATTAACGGCATGATTAAATAAATAAACTAAGAAGATAAATTAAGAAATCAAAATTAATATCCAATTAACAATAGTCATAAAAGAACCATGATCCTAGAACATGAAGTTTAGCTCCACATAGACATGATAGCCAAATGACAAATTATCCAAAGAAATATAAAAATTACTAAGTTTGATGGGAAAAAGATGAAATTCGGCCTCCACGGCGGCTCCTTGCTCTCCAAAGTTGAAAACCCCCTTCAAAAACATGTTTAAGAACTATTTATAGGTGTAGCAAAAGTTTTGAATAAAATTAATCAAGTCCAAAATCGAAAAGGAGATGAAACTGCATCGGACATGCCCAACGCCGCCTCACGGCGCATAAGGTGCCAAATATGGGCTGCCTGACGAGCTTGAAACACATACTTAAATTATGCTTGCTAGTCAAAGATAGTATAGTATAATATTGCATCCACATGGATTGGAGTTAAACAATTTTTTCTTTTTTTCTAGTTTGATTGCTATCGAGGAGAATCAACAATTGAGTTTTATATGATTTCTAACTAAATTTAACTAAGAATCTAAAGCTATTGACTAACGACTGTCGCAACAAAAGTAAGCAAGGAAGTTATCAGTGGGAGAAAATGGGGATTGATAGGATATGTGCAAGATAATTGTTTGGGATCTAACTCTAGGTAATTCACTTCTAATGTTAAGTGAGTCTCTCGAATTCACTCAATTATTAGTTCAAACGTTCAGCAAAAACTCCTCTCTCGATTAAGTGTTAACCTCATAAGATGAACCAATTTAAGCACGCGAAGATATGCAAGAATGCGTAGTGGATTGGTCTTTAGGAGAACCTCTCTCGATTATTATCCTAACTAGGTTTAATCAATGATTCAACTAGCCTCTTCTAATTACTAAGAAGAATTAATGAACTCAACCAACAATATAATACAAAGATATCACAAGTTATGACTCTCTCGATTACATGAACAAGTGAATAGATGCAATGATTAAATCATCCAAAAATGATTCAATACATAAAACTAGAGTTATAATTCACAAACAATCATCAATACACCAAATCCATCAAACCCTAAAGAGAACTACTCCATATATATGGAG